CACTTTTTAATATACAAATTACAGCCTTTAATAGAAACCTACTGGTCAGCATCTTATTAGCCTGCTGTTAGCTTCATTACACAGAAAACTTATAAGTGCTTCAGATGATCTCTGTCCACTTCTGTCCACTCATTCATTCATGTAAGCTATCTAACGCAGCTTTGATCTTCACAGTCTGCTTTATGTAACTCATCCTAACCCTGAATGTCAGAGTGTTCCTCCTTCTCTTTCCCATCATTCATGCTGGCAGTGGAGGAGATTTGGATGTTGGACTGTGTTTTGGATGATGTGTGTATGTTTGTGTTGGACTGCTGTCTGTAAAGCAAACGGACATTTTGGTTTGGATTTCAGTTTCAGAAAGACTTTAAGGTGGAATGAAGAGTGTTAGAGTTTCACAGTGAATTATCCAATGGAGGATTTTTCTTCTTCTTTGAAGGTTTGAAATGTGAACATTATTCTGCTACAGTCAATGGACTAAACCAGAGAAGAAGAAAACAGACTTTACAATCAAGATCCTCACTGTGGATCAGTATAATATCAGCCTTATGTCTGCAGTTTAGTGTCAGCACAACTTTCACATCACATGTGAATATTATACAGAGGAGCAATTCAGGGATAAGGTTGATATAGCTAATACATTTTCATTAATTCATATTAATTGCAGAAGTCTTTATAGAAGTTTTGCTTCGATTGAAGATTTTCTGTATAGTTTGAGAGGCAAGTTCCAAATAATTGCTCTGTCTGAAACATGGTTAGATGAGAATAGGGGTTTCTGTATCGAAGGGTATGATTTATACTTTTTAAACAGAACTAAGAAGAAGGCAGGAGGGGTGGCACTTTTTGTTAATTGTGATTTGAAATGTAAAAAAGTTGAATATATGTCTGTGGCTATAGACGATTTAATGGAGTCTGTGACAGTGGAATTGGACATAGAAAGAAGAATTAATATAATTGTAACGTGCATATATAGGAAACCGGGGTCACAGATTGAGTTATTTACAGAGGTAGTAGAAGACTTATTGAGTAAGGCTAAGGGAAATAAGACTTTATGTTTGTGTGGTGATTATAATATTGATTTTTGTAAAGAGGCAAATGATAAGGCTGCGTCAGATTTTTTTGAATTATTATTTGGAAAAGGATTTTATCCTTTAATTATAAAGCCAAGTAGAATAACTGATAAATCAGAAACACTAATTGATCACATTTTTATTAATAGCTTGGAGAGTAATATTATGAGTGGCCTCATCATAAATGATATAAGTTATCATTTACCAGTCTTTTTCACTTTTGATTTAAATACGAAAAGAAAGGAAGAAGTTGGTTTTGTAAGTCACAGAAGTTTAAGAAATAACAAGGCAATTGACAAGTTTAGACAAGATCTCATGGAAGTGGACTGGAAGGAGGTTTATGTTAATGAGGTCAACATTGCATATGGAGCATTTTTAAATACTTACTTGGGCTTGAATGATAAACATTGTCCATTGGTATCATTTAAGTATAAGAAAAAGAATAAGCATATGAAACCTTGGATAACTAAGGGTCTTGCAAATGCGTGTAAAAAGAAGAATAATTTATATAGGGACTATATAACCCAGAGAACTAAGAATGCGGAAATGAAATATAAAGTTTATAAAAATAAGTTGGTATTAATATTGAGGAAAGCCAAGAAAGACTATTATAATAAACTTTTTCAGGAAAACAAGAATAATATTAAGGGCATTTGGAATATTTTTAAAGAAGTATCGGGTAACAAGAACACACCCTTAGATCGGCCTAATTATTTCATTAAGAATAATCAAGTTGTCGATAATAAGACTGAAGTAGCAAACGAATTTAATTCCTTTTTTGTAAATGTTGGACCTACTTTAGCAAATTTAATTAGAAAAAATGACGACCCAGAATATGAAGTTTGGAAAGGAGAAAGTAGAGTGGTTAATTCTATATTCTTAGCTGATATCATCATAAAAGAAATAGTAGCAATTGTAGAAAACTTTAGAAATAAAAAATCTACTGACTGTGATGATATAGACATGGTTGTAATTAAAAAGACTTTAGATTGTATAAGTATTCTTCTATGCTATATTTTTAATCTCTCGTTACAATCAGGAGTATTTCCTGATCGAATGAAAGTGGCAAAAGTGATACCCTCATGTAAATCAGGAGATAAGCATAGTTTTAACAACTATAGGCCAGTGTCTCTTTTGTCACAGTTTTCAAAAGTGCTTGAAAAACTTTTTGCGCAAAGACTTGATAGTTTTATTGAAAAAAATCAACTAATAAATGAAAATCAATTTGGATTTCGTAAAAATAGATC